TCAAGTGAGCACAATTTCCTCAAGAACACTAGGGGTTAGGGATGTGCTGCATAGTCTCACCATCACTACCAATATGAATGTCAGTCACACAAACCAGTGACTGGAAGTTTTCAGGCATCACAAAAGGAGTGCAAACAGTTAGAGCTCCTCTATATCAAGACTGACTGAGGACTGCCCCCTGCTGTTGTATACAGAGACCTGTATGCTTGTAGGGTAACTTCATATGGCCACCACTAGCTGGCATAAGTGCTGGCAGCAGGAACTACCAAGCATTAACTTGAGGCCCTATCATGTATTCTTTCAATGCATGAGTTCAAGTAAGCCTTCTTTTAACTCATTTCTGCATTGGCTGTACCCTGCGGGCAATTGTCTGATTTCTAAAGTGACATTTTCAAGATTACATTTATTTACATTACATACATTTATTTTCAAGATTTACATTCTCTTCATAACAGTATAGTCACTGCCTTCTAGAACAGTATGCCAAACACAGAATACCTCACCATAATAAGGTTTTGTGTCAACTATGGAATGAATGACAGTAGCTAGATCCTCATATTATAGCAACAGATATAGAAGCAGTTGGAACATTTTCAACCCAATGGTGAATTTACATCACTTTTTTAGTTTGCCAGAGATATGGCTAAATATATTCCAGGTTGATTTGAGCTCCTAGAGACATAGTAGTATCACTGATGTACCATTACTCTCGGTCACAACTCAAGCCCCAATTTCTGTGTTGCCCAATGAAAATACATGCATAGGATTTTTGTAAAATTGTGATTAAAACTCACATCTCCTATCCACATCAATTATATGGAAGTGATAATGAAAACTTTAGAATGCTGTTTGTGTCATTAATACAAAACTTTGTTGACTTGAGACTGAGGATACTGCCTGGGTCATCAATGACATCCTTTCAGTAGTTGCTTTGGGAACCTTCTTTTGTAAAAAGCCAGGGCAAAGAGAGAAATGAAGGAGATAGCTTTCCTCTGTACTAGTGATAGGAATGGAATGATATAGGATTTTTTGTATTCAAATATTTCATTTACTTATTTATGTTTGCAATTATACTCCATAAAATTGTAAAACTCAAACAATTGCTGAATATCCCCTTAGTTAATCAGAAGCACAATTCTGCTATTTGGAATTTTCAAAATGGGCTTAACAAAGATTCAAAAACACAATCCGGTTTGATCTTATGTAGTGCAAAGTATATGCCTCTTTCATCTTCAAGTGCTCCTTAACTGTCTTCTTACTACACTGCAGAGGAATCATCTAAACAAACACTTCTTTCCTGCTAGTATGATATGGTTGCTTACCATTTTAAATTCCTCAGCCCAATACTCATCTGATCAGAAAATGTGCATGTGACACACAAGGACAGATTGTAGTTTCATTAAAGATGTATTTACTGAACTGAGCCAGCTGCTCAGAGCTGGCATACATAAAAGAACCATGTGACAGATACTTAGATATGTTTAAGAAAACTGACAAAAGCATTCATCCAGTGCAGGAGCTTCAGCCACATAAGAGCTGGCACTTCTATCTTCTTCCATGTAAAAGGTTTAAACAGTTACTACAGTGTGCCATAAATTTTAACTTGTAATTGAAAATCTTTCTACTTCCTTAGAAAAAAGTCCTGTATCACTTGCTACATAATTACAGGCTATGTAGCTGGTCTCTTAGGCTTTGCTAGAAATTTGCAAACACGAAATGCTGCACAAACTAACACTAATCAAATTTTATTAAATGTTAAGCTCAAGAAATGTCACCCCTCACACCACAGAATCACAGAGAGTAACAATGGCTCCATATATGATTCTAAAGAAAGCAGAAGATTTAAACCTTGAATGAGGTCATATTTAGTTAGATGTCATTCCTGATGCTTTCCCTCATTTAAGGATCTCACTGTCAGAGTATAAATGTGTTAGCCCTATTTGCATCAAGCACACATAAAGGGAAAAACTTCTACACTCACATTTATAGGTCACTTGAAGAGGTAAACAGAAAAATAGAATATTTCACATTTCCAAAACACTTTGAGAATCAAATTCAGTTCACCCAGTGGTTTTATTCATTGTCTTCAGAATGTTTTGGCCTCTGTATTCTTTAAAAGTTAAAGCAAGTTTCACTAGTAGTATTTTACTTGATGTCATTGACATCAAGCTAGTGATCCAACTACTTTCTTGTTCAGTAGTTTGAGACGAGTATTACTTGATTAACTACTTTTTCAGTTTTTATAGTACATGGTGAGTTTGGAATCAACCTAAATTTTTAGAACAATTAAATAAGATACACACCAGTGCATATTTTCAATGCATTTCAGTCTGGCAGCTTTGATTCAACATAGACAGTTCCTATAATAAAGTTTGCAATGATGCAGAGTATAAATTATGCACTATGTAAATGATATTTTGTCTAATGCTACTATGTTTCTATAACAGATTATTAATTTGTTGACATTTCTTCATGCTGTATAATTGTAAATGCAAATAATATGGTAAATATATGTATGTTGCTGGCATACTTATACTGGGTATGTTTGCATGTTCTCTACTGGCCAATTCACACAATTTGCTGTTCCAGTTTTGTATGTAAAGAACCTCAATGTGGGGGCAGATAAATGACATGGTTCTGTTCCCTAGAATCACTGGTTTCTTCACATATTTTACTAAAGAGGTATGTGATTTAGCCAAAAGCAAGTATAAGTGTCTGAATCAGTATTAAAACAATGAATTCCTGTGGCCACACTGACAAGATGCTTTGCAGGAATTCCTGCAACTTTTGGATGTGGCTGAGGCATCCTTCTTTTGTACTTCTTTCGTCAGCATTTCTAATGAAGTACTGCCGCTGCTTATCACATATTTCTCATTATCTTTCCCTCTAGTAGCAATTGTCTAATTAATTAGTCATCTACTCTGATTGTTACAAGCTTCCTATCTTCCAGACTCTGTCATAGTTCCAACAGCAGTTACTCTTAGGAACATTTACTCTTGCTTTCAACAAGTTATGCTTCTTTTCAATCCCAGGATATTCCTGCTACTTTATCACCTGCATTGAGAAAAAGTCACAGACAGGATAAAACCTAGCACAGACAAAATATTCTAGAACTCTTAAATATGGCTAGGATGATTAGTCGGTTTCCACTGGTTCTATACAGTAACCAGATTAACTCTCTTAAGAGTGGAACTTCCATCCTTAATGATCCTGATTTAGCTGCTCTCCCCTACAACTCTTCATAGTTAAAAAAAAATCTAAATGATGCATTCAATGTTATCCGTAGCTTGGCCTTCAGTTCTTATAAGTAATACTACTGAATCCAAAAGCCTAATAATAAGCATGTCCAAAAATTAAGCTAGCCCTATTTGTCAATTCTTTAAGTCAATATTAAAAGATTAGCAGAAGATTACACTGTGCAAGGAAAAAGCATGGCTCTTTACATTTTACCAACTTTTAAAAGTTTTAGCACTGTTTCTCAAACTTTGTCAACTGAGCAAATAAGTTTTCTCATGAGATTGTTTTTATATTCAAAATAATAATAAGACTCAAGACCTTGTGTAACCTTCCATTCTAAAACTTTCTTCAATATTTAGAATCTTGCAGTGATATTTTTTACTCTGTGTTGCAATATGAAGGCATTCTTCCATGTTTCATCAGATTACCTGCACTTAATACAATTGTTTCTTAGAAATGGTGCATATTTTGCATGATCCATGATCAACGGGAGGGTGAATTATATTCTAGTTCTAATCAGCACATTTTCTCTAAAGGATCTACTCATTCTCCTGTTTCACTTTCACTGGCTATCAATCCTCCTCCTCCTCCTCCATTTATTACAGTTATGGACCAGGAAAATTAATAAACAAATAAATATAGCAATAGGAAATTTAAAACACAGTTAAAACAAGAACAGCTTATACAATATCTTCACTTAGGAGGATGACCACATTCCCCCCCCCCCAATTTGCAATGTAGTCATTAAAAAATTGGCAACGTTTCCAGTGACAGAAGAGGATACAACCCTTAAACAAATTGAGTAGAATAATTGTTACCATAAAGGTAAGTTATTAATGGTATAATCAATTTCTTTGTGCATTCTCTATAAATGCTGCATGTATAAATGCATAAGAGAACATGTTAGGCTACCAATCAGTTTCTGGACACTCTCCGAAGTTCTGCTTATGGTATATAAAATCTATACAACTAAAGGCCAGGCTATCCTTTCTTATGAACATGCTGAAAATTTAAGATCCTTTGGAGATCTGTTTTCTCTGCACTGCCACCAGTGAAAACTGGTGACTCCAGTGCTGATGGGGAGTTGTAGGGACCTGGGCTATATTCAGAACTTTAAAGGAACTAATGGTGCTGAGCACCACTGCCTACATAGGTTCTGACAAAATGAATGTACTGCCCCGCTGACATTGCAGCTGCCACTCTCCCCTGCCTCCCCTCCCCTCCCACTGGGGGCATAAGTAACAGGAATGTGAGGAAGGTGCTCTTTAGCACCTGCTGCCAGCATCTGGAACTCTCTGACAACTGGACAGGGGAAGCTCCTAAATTATTCTACTTCCTACAAAAGGAAAGTTATTTTAATTCAGGTAGTTCTTGGTTGTTAAACTCTCTTGTTTGCTGAACTGATGAGTTCTCTTTATTTCCTATTTAATTTTAAACAATATATTTAATGTCTTTGTAATTGATGTATTTTAAATAGATGAGGTTATATTTCAATTAAATTATTTTATGCATTTTACTAGGGTTCGTTTCTTTGAGGTTATTTTAATGGAAAAGCAGTGTATAAAACAAAGAAACAAAACATTATCAAATCTAATGTCAAATGCAAAATAATCTCAAAACCCATAGTCACTATGTACTATGAAAGTATGGGCTCAACAAGGAATGAAGTTTATTTACCCCTTTTCTTCATTAACAGCATTTCATATGAGCAAATGCAGCAGTCAACATTACCAGAAAAGAACACATTTCATGTTTTTTCCTACCTTCCTCTTGGCAAGTCATTATCATCTTTCTTCCAACGGACTGTTGGCTGAGGATCTCCCTGTACCTGGCATCTGAATTCTACAACTTCTTCTTCCAAAACCACCTGGTTGATTGGTCTCCTGAGAAATGTGGGTCGTTCTTGAAAAATAAGCATTCCACATTTAAAAAGTCAGTTATTTTACTTTACAAGTGTTAGAAAGCAATCCCATTCACAACACACAGAGCCTTTAAGACTTGCCCCAAGTCATTTTTCTGCCTTAGGCAATTAGCAAACCAAGCACTTTAGTGTCATCCCACCCAGCCTGTCAAGGTTCAGAGTACTCAAGGCAGGCCAAGTTATTTTTGTAGGAGAGAAAATTCCATATGCACAATTTCTTGCAGTACACCATTTATTAAAGAGCAAATACTGTGCTGATCTTTAATGATATCCAGAATTGCTTCATTTGGCCTAATAACTGGGCCAGCTCTGAGCCTACAAGCACAAAAGGTCACTATTTGCCCCCCACACCCTGGAAGTCATATGCAAATAGCCCTCCTGCTCCTTTCATTGCAAGTGTCTTAGGCACTGAAATGAAGGGAGAAACAGGGGATCCTATAACGATGTTTCACAATTGTGAATTAGCTCACACTATTTGTAAATGAAGAACTGATTGACATTTCTGTTTTATACCACACTGCAGAATATCTATACAAATAAAAATGGATTGGTTAAAAACTAAGAATTTGCTATATCCATTTCACACAATAAAGCAATCAACAATAGTTTTAGTGATTATAGGATGAATCTGTTTATATTATCTTTGAGACATAAAATGGATTTGCAAAAGTCTTGATTGCTACTCTTTTTACCTGCTTATGGACATTTTCTTGAGGTGAAGAGAATTCATGTTTATGTAATGAAAACATGCAGCCTTCTCCATTCTTTGGAAGTGTTAGGCAAGGCTGATATGGAATGCTGAGTTTTCTTTAACAAGAACTTTCAAGAAAACACATAACTATAGATGTTCAGATTATAGAAACTGAGGGCATGCAAATCACAGTATCCACAATTTTCATTTTGCATATCCTGTGCAGTATTGTGAACATTTGCTAGGAAGGAATACATAATTTCCTGTGTTGTTTTCTATGTACAAATCACTCAGAGTGTTAATTATACTTCCATAGAATGATCAGTGTGAATGCCACTGCCAATGCATAATCTCACAAAACATTATGTGAGATTAACTGGATTTGAATCACCTGCATAACTTGTTTATAATGTTAATCTCTCAGGGGATGAAAGAATGCAGCTTTTGAGATGTTTCTTACATAGTTCAGTCAAAGCAATTTCATAGCAGATTTTTGGAAAATGCAAATTGCTTTTTTAAAAAGCTCTGTCAAATAATTTAGTGGCATAATTACAATGGCAATTTTGTCAACGATATTCAATACATAAATTAAAACCATAGCTACACATGGCATGCTTAATACAGCTATTTTATAAGTTTTAGATGAGTAAATAGAGAACTCTTTTCCCATACTTTGTTTCAGTTGAAAACATGAAAAGCCTTTGAAGAGAGCTATAAAATAGGTTGCAGTTATATGTCAAATTGGCTATTTAGACTATTGCTGTTATGACCTTTATAACTTCCAACTAAACATGGAGTTATAATTGGATAACTATTAAATTAACAAATTCACAGAGACTTTTGTTACAGGAATTGAGATGCATAGATGAAACTTTAGATGCACTTTGTTGAATGAAATAGTATTATTTATTTATTTATTAAAACATTTTAGTATAAGGCTTTCAGAAACTACTCCTAAAATTTCTTAGCTGATGAACCTCCTTAGCTGTCCTACTTACCTCCTATTAACTTTTCCCTTATTTAATATGTACTGTACATACCATGCAGTCCTTTAACATGTGCCATGCAATTTAATCAACAGGACCTAAGTTAAATGACTAATGTCCCAGCTCCAAAACTCAAAGCCAACTCTTCTTTCATATTCTTTATTCTAGCACACCATGTACCTACTGGTGGCTTTGTCCTTGAGCAAAGCACTTCCACCCATGCAAGGTGGGGATCTGATTTGCCAGTTTCACCTACCCACTGCTGAGCCCCAAAGTTCCTTAAAACCTGCTTGTGCAGTCTGGAAATCCTGGGGAATAAAATAGAATATAAACCCAAGACCTGTAGTAAATAGATGGTTTATGGATCTACCTTGCAAAAGTAGAAGCTCCTTCCATTAGTACAAAGCCAACACTGGATATAATCCATTTTCATAAATGAAGTACTACATATAAGATTAAGGATATGTTCTCAGTGCTCAACAAAAAATGGCATTTTGGATTGTGTGCTTGCTAAGGAGATTACCAAAGCATTTTGGTACATTGTTGTTACTTACTATTTTCTTCCTTTAGCAATAAAGGTTGAGACTGATATTGATACTGGGTTAATTTTTTCCAAGAAACTATACTTAATCTGTAGCATGCTAAAACAGCTTAAAACAATTACAGTATGTGCCATAGCTGCTTTTACACAAAAACAAATGATTTAGGGCCAAGATGTAAATAGATGTTTAATGCATTTTAAAACATGCAGTTTAAATGCAGAAAGCTTTCCATTTGTAGCTAAAACAGTGCTAGTAGAATTTACAGCAAACATTATAAATATAGTATATATAGTAAAAAAAAGAGGAAAATATGGGAAGAAATAGAAGGCTTCTTGAAAATGCTTCTTGTTAATGCAGAGGAAAATTCTATCAGTATGCACTGTATATTATTATTTCTTTGTATAAGATTCTTTAATCCTTAAATATATGTACTTTCAGTTTATTTATCTTTTTTTATTTATTTGTGCTTTTTAGTTTACAATTTAATTCTAATGCTATTTAAGGAAAATCCTGCATGGAAAATTGTAATCCTGGCTTCCTCACCATTCCCACTGGACTACTGCTAACCACCCTACTTACTCTTACTCAGATTCACCAGAGGCTATGCCTCAAGCTAAATTCACTGTGTGTGGACCTAGAAATCAGTCATGAATGACATACCAAAATTGATGAAAACATTTCAAGACCAAAATAATGAGAGACTGAATCCTGGGAAACTTTGAAAATCAATAGACGTAACTAAATGGGTATGTCCAAAAATCTCTGGCAGGAGTTTTAAAGGAAAATAGATGATTAATCAGCAGTGGGCTAATTTACTTTCTTCTATCTTATTTAGCATTTTCGGTGTACTTGCCAGATATGATAGTAAACTAGTTTAATTTTCCCCACACTGGACAACCTTGCTTTCCTGTTCTGCCTGTGTTTTGTTGCATGGCCAATATCTACAGGGCTGGGTTCCTAGAGGAAGGCATTTAAATCAATATTAAACAAGATAGACTCTTTAAGTGCCTCATAAGCTTAAGGGCATGATTCTATGAATATTTATATTTTTTAAAAAAGCTCTACAACTCCCAGAATGTCCCATCCAGCTGTATCGTTAGTAGTTAGAAACGTTTTTTAGGGGGAAATTGTGAACTTTGGGATGAACCAATTATATTAATGGGATGACTCTGAGAATGCGGGAATTTGCCTTTTCCTCTACAGCCTGCACCATATGCACCAGAGGACTGGGGATCTCTCTGGAGCAGATTTGAAGACCAAGGGACTGCAGGAGAAAATGATATGGGTAAATTTCCATTGCACAAGGGACTTCCAACATTCATCCATAAGAAATAATAAAAATGCAATTTCACTGGAAATAAGCATTTAGCTGTGTTTTCTCCTTCTATGACTAACTACTCTGATTATTTAGGAAAAAAATTGAATACTGAATAGCACTAATACTAAATTGGGATTTATTACAGTTCCAATCAGTTTCTGTAACTGTTCCTTGATTTATATTTATAAATATATATAATATAGTGGAAATTGTAGATTTCCACATTTAAAAAGTGGTTTCATGTCAAAAATACAGTATAGGGGATACAATGTAAACACACACACAAACATGAACATATATGGGTGAGTGTGAACATACATACTCACTTGCTTCTTACATGCCTGCCCTCTTCTGGAATATACTTGAAGCATCTTAATGTTAAAAGAAGTAGCACATAGCATTATTATTACTGGGCGTGTATGTGGGAAGAGGGAATTTTCTTTTTTGCTCTTGAATTTCTTTGATGTTGTTTAAGACTCACTGAACTGGTGCTTATAACCCTTAGTACTGATATGTAGAAATGTGACCATTGACAGTTCTGCTATGGTAGTTTTATAATGCTATTATCAATGTGTTAATAGGAATGGTTTAGATTTAAGATGGTTTCTGCATGCTATTTTCCTATTTATTCTCATGGGGGAATAATCTCAATTATTTAATTTATTTGTTTGACATGTTCAACTTGGCTCCACTAACCAATTTATTGCCTAACTTCATTCACCAGTACAAGAAACTCAATCACTAAGTAAATTTAAATAGACAAAGAATGTAAAACATATAGACACATACACTTTTGAAGATTGTGTGAGAATATTTACAAACTCTCGTGCAGTGTTACAAAAGCTTTGATCTACCATGGGGAATAAGTAATAATTTTAAAAAGCTGAATCTCTGAAACAAGCTGACTCTGAAACTCACTGAACCACAATCTGTCAACTGTATTAAAAGCATCTCAGTTATATTTGATAATTTTGTGACAGGCAGCAATATCATACTGGACTAAGGTTGCTGAATCTTTGCATCCATCCAAGGATCTCTCATTGGGTTTACATTCTGAATGTCAGAAAAAATGTTTGCTTGTTTGTTTGTTTTGTTCTAAACCTTTGCTAACAAATTAAGATGGATGAATTCTTAAGATGGATGCATAACTAGAAATTCTGAATTGCCATTTTTCTATAAATGTATATGAATTACTCTTTAAATTATTGATTTTGTATGTTGATAGTGTGCGTCCTGAATTCCATCATTAATATTTTGTGCGTGTAGCACCAGAGGAAAAGCAAGTATAAAGCTCAGACACAGGTTTACCAAAGACAGTCAGCTCTGCTGGATCACTGTCCCGTTCTCCCACCATATTGGTGCCAACACATGTGTACATTCCAGCATCACTCTTTCTTGTGTTTGAAATCATAAGCTTTCCACTTCGGATCTATTGGAAAGAAATTAAAAAAACCTGTTTTAATATTCTGCATACTGCATACTGTATTTCATGTATTCATAAAACAGTATTAGTACTTATATTACTCATATTACAGTTAATATTAGAAGGTATAGTAACTGAATCTACTTTGTTTAAAGTAATTAACACAGACTTAAAGAGAGGAAGCATGGGAAGATGTTTTGGTAGCTTCAGTTCCTTTGAATTCTTTCCTAATAATTGCATATTTTAAGCACAAGGGCATAGTCACATGATCACTTATATAAGAAAATTAGTGTTAAAAGCCACTCTCTGGTCAGCTTTCCACACTATGACTGTAAATATGGATTCGAATTTTTAAAAAAATCTTTCAAAATGGAGCTTCTCTCTGGATGTCAACAACATAACTTTTTTAAGGATGTATAAAAATTGAAAATTGTTAAAATCAGTAGTTTTACATAAGAGTCTGAATTGTGAAACTGTGTTCAATTCCTCAATCTATAAACTATAGATTCAACATTTTCAAAAAAGTTCATAAAATATAGAAATATCTTTATAGCAAGTAATTTGTAGTATTTAAATTTTTAAAAAATCTTTCTCTTTCACAATTTACATTCTTATCTCATCAAGGCCATTGATTTTTCTAATTTGGGTGAAAATTCTCAGTCAGATCAACTTTTTAACAAGCCAGTTAATGTTTTAGCTTCCCCTTTCAGCAAGACTAGCTTACACTGATTCGGTCTTCTTTGTCATCAATTCGAATTTTGTCTTTTTTCCAGTAGATAGTGGGCTCAGGATGACCTCGAGGAGGCTGGCACTCTAAAATAGCTGGTTCACCTGCTGCCACAATAACATCTGTAGGGTTTTGCCGGAAATCATCCCGTAGCACTGAAACAAACAACATGGATGGAAAAATAAAACATAAAAGAGTTTTATTAAATATATTATCATGAAAGAGTTTCCTTGATTGGAATTTCTGTGGGATCATGTAAAATCCATCTAGAATCAGCTACTGTAACAGAAATAAACCCAGTAGGTGGCTTTTCTTCTACTACACATTTAAGTGACGTATATTTTTCACAAAAGTACCTCTCATGTGAGTACACACACACACAATTCTCCTTTTAGTCTGCAGTCACACCTGCCAGTGTGACCTTCTAGGAAGGGGGGGAAACCCTTATAGTATTATTGCTGTTCTGATAGCTAATTCTTTCATTATGTAAACTCTGCTTGTAAGCTTTTGAAAATCTGGCATGCCCATTTCTCGACTGGCACCTGTCTACACAGCAGCTATTTTTTAGTGAAATGGACAAATAGAGAGGTCATACAGCTATGCAATTTTACCTTTATTGTGGCAGCAGAATTTTTGGTGTCAGTGGCGGCAGCTGCCGCAGCAGAAATAACTTCTGAAGTATGCCAAATCTATGCATATGTAATACTACTAGGAAAGCACCTGCTCTTTCATTATCTTTTAATATGTTTGTAGCCATGTCTTTTGATATTTTTTGCAGGCATTTTTTAGGCATTGTGAGATAAACCCAAAAGGGGGGTAAATACATATCAGTTAGCTGTAAGAAACTAGATCAGGCAATGCACATTATCTTCTTATGTAAATTATATCACCAGTGATAGATTAAGTTTAGCTGTACAAAAATGATAGCCATTTTATCATAATTCTTCCATTTGTGTTCCAATCTCTGTTTTAATTGTAACCCTTACAAATACAAAACTGAAAATAGTTCCAAAATGAGCTACTAAAATTGTTGTAGTTCACTATGTAAAAGTCTCATTACTGCTTTAATATAGTTCTTACCTTTAATGGAAAAAGGCCCTGTGAGAAATCAAGAAAAGCCTGCATCTTACTAAAGGAGCAGTCTGGAACAGCAAAAAATGTTCCCTCTCAGCTTATAAACTGATTTAATTTACTGCTTTTGCTGTTAATAAAATGTGCTCCATTTTAACATTTTGAACTGCACATTTCCCGTTTTCATGCGTTACATTCAGGGATAAAATTTATATGCACAAGGATTAGCCACTGAATGGGCTGAGTTGAGCCTGCATATAAATCTGACTCTCAGCTACAGATATGGGATTCTGCTTATCGTTTTAGCATTTTCATGGCACACAGGTAAATCCTAAGAGGAGGAGAAACTAATTAAAGGTTAATTTAGTTTCTAATATATAAGACTTGTCTGTGTGTGCCTTGTCTAGACACAGAAAATAAAAAATAAAGAAATTCCGGAAAGGACTTTACAGAAAATGTCTTACAGAGCTAAGGGCATCCTTCAGAACCCTTTTTCTGCAAACGTGCCAACAGACGTATTCCAAAGATATATATTAGACTGAGAAAAGTTATGTACATACATTTTAAAAATGTTATTTATGCATGAAGTAGAAAATGGCAACTGAGTGTTAATTCTGAAGATGAACTGTGAAAATCTAATATTCAAATATGAAGAGGCATACAGGGTATTATTTACTAGATATCTTTGTATCTACTTCTGGCACAAGGACCTATAACATACATACCACAAAAACAAAAGCGAGAACTAGAATATGTGAGGATTTATACCACATTTTGTGTATCACATTTCATGACATATAGCACAGTTCAGCTATCACATGTTTATGTATCCATTTTATGAGATTAGAAGCTATGTGAATGTTTATAGGTTCCAGCCAGACTATGAGGTATGGAATATTTCAGGTCTCCAAAATCATGCCACAGAAACTTTTTGAGGCTGAGTGAAGAGGCCCTTTTGGACCAGCATCAGTAACTGGGCTGTCAACAAACACAACATTCTGTGGAATCACAACTTGAATTATGATCAGCCTCCCCAGGGTCATTTCACCATCAGCAAATAAACAATTTATTGAATTGTGTGTCAATGCCTAAAGGGCAGTATCATGAACAGGTCACTTGTCCCTCTTGCTCTCCAGCAGACTCAAACAACCATAGAAGTATAACTCTTTTATTAAAGCTTAACAGGTTACAGAACAGTATAAATCAAAGTCACAGTTTGGTTAACTCACTCAGTTGATTAAACTAGTTTATATGTGCAGCTTCATTACACCAATGCCAATTCTCAAAAGTTATCATTAATTATAGTTATACAATCCCACTTTGTTAGAAATTTTGTCCACAAATTGTTCACAAAGGTTTAGAAAAGTGTTACAATATGTTAAAAATAGGATTACACAGAAAGTCAGAAACCAGTTCAAAGATGTTATAATACCAAAGGCTGTATCTACTTGGCTTCATTTTGTAATGCCCATATTAGTGTTTAACTCTCACAGTAAAGACTTCCATCTTATCATAAATAAGTAGTTTTTCCTGGTTTGCCCTCTGCCATCTGACTTTATCTAACCAACTGCTTCTGTGTACTCAAATACCTGATATCTTTCCCTAATTGGGCTTTGGGGCTCTCTTACTGCAGAAAGGAGAAAATGAAATTCCTAGATTAGAAAAAAAGTGATAACTAGAACATTTATTAAAAATACTCAAGAGGCAGGTAGTGAATAATCAATTAAGATGATGCTACTGAATTCTCTTCTGAACAATCCTGATAAAGTAACTTCTTAGAAGTTGCTCACTGTTAGTGATGAACTTGCTCACTAAAGCTGTGAATTATCTAGTAGCAACCACAACTGTCAACTGTGTAAGATAGCAGCCAATAGTTCTCATGACACAATTGTATTTGTAAGGCACACAAAATGGTCACAGTAGAGCTGACCACAGAAGTTACACCTGCCCATTCTGTTGGTGTCTGCAACAGTAGGCCTTAGCCAAAGCAAGCTGCATTTTTCTTAGAACAGGAAAATCCACACCTCATTATACTTAAGGCTACCTGGAATGCAAAGCTGTGAAATACTGAGACAAATATTTTATAAATCCTCTCTCCAATGATGTCAGGGTGGGTTTTACTCCATCTGCCAATGCATAGATAATTAAGGAATTATATGGTAAGTACAATACAACAAGGATTCTTATATGATAATGTGTCTGAACCATTTATTTTACACCTCATAGTATATGGGCCAAAATGAAACAATAGTATCTTGGCAGGATACATACAAGGCTGCAATGGAGTCTGGACAAATGCTAATTATGACATTCTAGGCATCTCTTCCATAAAGAACACAGATGCTTCTGAAGTACCACATCACTTTTGAAGTTCCATAAAGTAAACTTGGGAATTGTAAAGGGCTCTGAGTGTTTTGTGGGGAAGTGAATAGATGAGTCAAAATTATTCTAATCTATACACCCATGCTTAATCCTTCTTCTTGCTATAGAAACTCCCAGGCCCTTGGAAAATATGGTGTGTGTCTTAAACACTATAATAGGATTTACATTTACATGATGATTGTAAATAACCATCTGTTGTCTCTAGTTTTCAATCTGGTCCATTTCCCATGAGCCCCTACCCTATGGTCAAAGCAGTTAAGCTAGAAGGAAGAAGGAAAAGTCTGCCAAAAGGTTTAGAATCATTTGCATTATTTCCTATAGTGCTGGGTTTCTCCTTCAGTCTACACAAATATACTATAGAGAGTATATTTTAAGTTCTTATATATAATACACATACACACACCTCTGTGTGCACTCACATCAATATTTAAAATGAGCATTTTATGTCATTCACATTGTATGAGTTAAAGATAGAACTATACCTATTATTCTTGACAAAGGCACAGTCCTATGTAACTTGAGAGATAAAAAGGCCTGCATCTCCCAGCATGGGTGTCGTAGGCCTTTTTATCTCTAAAGCTGTACAGGAATACATCCTAAGGAACACGTAGATATTATGTCAGTATCAAATGCACTCTTGCAAGTTTAGAATCTAACAATTTTCTCTAATTTTGTGAAACTGTTTACATTATAAAATGTAATGATATGATTTATGATAAAATGATAGAATTTGCCTCCAGGTCAATTTCTTTATTTCACAGTGGTTTCTCCCATTATAGCAATTGCAGCTCTTTGCTCTGTTCATCACCTGTGTGAAAAAATAACTTTGGAAATGGGTATCTTCTGGCCAGTTTGACAGGATACCTCCCTTTCAGGCACTTTCATTGCCTCTCCCAAGACATTTCTCAGAAGAATGTGAAGGCACCAGTCATCCAAATTTTACATCACAAAATATTCCTGGATCCACTACCTTTCATTCCAGCCACTATTGTACGGAATGGTGTTCCATACTAAAAATTGAGTTACAGAAAATAAGCAGGGTTTCCATGGCCAGTATCCAACTGTGGCATTGCATTAGAGAAAATAGCATTACACTAGTTAAAACAAGGTTATGAACTATGCTGAAGACGGGAATCCAACTAAAGTTACAATTTTTGGAAGTGTAGTTGCACAAGTCATTGCACATAATTGTGCAACCTGTTGCACATTCTGTTTGTGCAACCTTTTGAAGAGATTTGGCAGAGCTCTCCCAATAAAGAGATTTTGCAGAACTCTACTAGTGCTAGTAGAGTTTATTGAATGACACAACTGGATACTGTTCTGTACAATTTTAGACACACTGCAAATGGATATGTAATTCATACTTGGTGCTGTATAGTATATAGGCATATCTCTATGAAAGAACAACCACCTGAGTGATATAAAAGAAAACAGAACCATGTCAATTTTCATGGAAACCATGAAGACTTGAGCTACCCAATGAAAAATAGTCTTGGCATAAACATTGAAGCTCTCAAGACAATCACCCTGGAAGTTTCCATCTCTAAACCAAAGGCTACCTCCTTTATATGAACTTGGTAAGAACCTTAATTTCTCTTTTGAGAAGGTATTTTCTTTTGCTCAGCCAGTTATAGAATTAACATATATCTTTTTGATTTAACTTGATGTTCTTCCGATCTTGGAACCCCTGGGGAAAAGTAGT